CTATAGTTCCAGCCTCCCCAACTCTTCTATAGTACCAGACCCCTCCACTCTTCTATAGTTCCAGACCACCCCCACACTTTTGGAATCCCAGACCCCCAATCTTCTATAGTCCCAGACCCCACCACTCTTCTATAGTTCCAGACCACCCCCACACTTATAGAATCCTAGAACCCCACTCTTCTATAGTCCCAGAACCCCCCCCACTTCTATAGTCCCAGAACCCCCCCCCACTTCTATAGTCCCAGACCCCAGTACTCCTCTATAATCAAAGACCCCCCCCACTCTTCTATAGTCCCTGGCGCCCCCATCTTTTCTAAAGTCCCAGACCCTCCACACACTTCTATAGTCCCAGAACCCCCAACGCTTCTATAGTCCCTGACTTCTAAACATAACCCTAATGCTAACATTCACCCTAACCTTCCCTAACCCTAACTCCTAAACCCTAACCCAAACCCGAACCCTAACACTCTTCCATAATCCCAGACACCCTACTCTTCTATAGTCCCAGACCACGTACTCTTCTATAGTCCCAGACCCCTCACTCTTCTATAGTCCCAGACCACCACTCTTGTATAGTCCCACACTCCTCCATTTTTTATAGTCCCAGACCCCCACGTACCAACATCTATAGTCCCAGCCCCCACACACATACACTTCTATAGTTCCAGACCTCCGACTGTTCTATAGTCCCAGACCTCCCACTTCTCTATAGTCTCAGACACCCCCACTCCTCTATCGTCCAAGACCACCACTCCTGTATAGTCCCACACCCCTCCATTTTTTATAGTCCCAGACCCCCACACACCAACATCTATAGTCCCAGCTCCCACACACATACAGTTCTATAGTCCCAGACCCCCCACTCTTCTATAGTCCCAGACCGCCCCAACTGTTCTATACTCCCAGACCCCCTCATTCTTCTATAGTCTCATACCCCTCACTCTTCTATAGTCCCAGACTGCCCCCCCACACTTCCATCTTCCTAGACCCCCCACTCTTCTATAGTCCCAGACCCCACCAATCTTCTATAATCCCAGACCCCCCCAACTCTTGTATAGTCTCAGAACCCCTGACACACAGTTCTATAGTCCCAGACCTCACCACTCTTCTATAGTGCCCCCCTCCCCCAATACTTCTATAGTCCAGGACCCCACCAATCTTCTACAGTACCAGACACCCCCACTCTTCTGTAGTCCCAGACCCCCCCACTTCTATGGTCCCAGACCGTCCAACACTTCTATAGTCCCAGACCCCCACACTTCTATAGTCCCTGACCCCCCACTCTTCTATAGTCCCAGACACCCACACACTTCTATAGTCCAAACACCCCCACTCTTATATAGTCACAGATGCCCACACACACCCTTTTCTATAGTCCCAGACACCACCACCACACACACTCTTCTATTGTCCAAGACCCCCCACTCTTCTATAGTCCAACGCTTCTATAGTTCAAGACCACCCAACTTTCTATAGTCCCAGACAGCCCAAACTCTTCTACAGTCCCAGAACCCCCAGAAACTTCTATAGTCCCAGATCCCACCATTCTTCTATAGTCCCAGACCCCCTCAACTCTCTTCTATAGTCCCTGATCCCCCTCCCAGTCTTCTAGAGTCCCAGATCCCTCCACTCTCCTATATTTCCAGACCCCCCACTCTCCTATAGTCCCAGACCACCCACCCACTCTTCTGTAGTCCGAGACCCCCACAACCCTTCTAGAGTCAAAGACCTCTCCCACTCTTCTATAATGGCAGAGCCCCCTCCCACTCTATTTTATCCTAGACCACCCCACTCTTCTATAGTCCCAGATCCCCCACTCTCCTATAGTCCCAGGCTCCCACACTCATCTATAAACCCAGATCCCCCCACTCTTCTATAGTCCCAGAACCAACCACTCTGCTTCAGTCCCCGACCCCTACAACTCTTCTATTGTCCCACACATCCCCACTCCTCTATAGTGCACGACCACCCCACAATTCTACAGTCACAGACCCTGCTCCAAATGTTCTATAGTCCCAGAACCCCCCAATCTTGTATAGTCCCAGACCCCCACACTCTTCTATAGTCCGAGACCTCCCCCCCACTCTACTATAGTCCCAATCCCCCAACTCTTCTATAGTCCCAGAACCCCCAACACATTTATAGTCCTGGACCCCACAACTGTTCTATAGTCCCAGTAACCCCCACTTTTCTATAGTCCCAGAGCCCCCCACTTCTATAGTCCCAGATCCCCCCAACTCTTCTAAAGTCCCAGACCCCACACATACACTCTTGTATAGTCCCAGAACACCCCAATTTTCTTCTACAGTCCCAGATCCCCCCACATTTATATAGTCCCAGACCCCCCACTCTTCTATAGTCCCAGACCCCTACACACATACACTCCCATCATCGCAGATCCCCCGACTCTTCTATAAACCCAGACTCCCCCACTCTTCTATAGTCCAACCCCACCACACTTCTCTAGTCCCAAACCCCCCTACTCTTTTACAATCCCCCGCCTCATCCCTCTCCCTCCCTGTCACCCCAAGTCAGCCCTAGGCCACCGAGTCCCCCCTCCCAGGAGGGGGAGTGGGCAGTGCAGCCCCGGGTAGGGGCTCCCCACCCCACAAACCCAAGTCTGGCTGCTGCCCAGAAGCCCGGCCACAAGCCCCCGTCAGGCCTCTGCCCAGAAGCCCTGTCCTGGGTTCAGAGGCCCAGGTTCCCCGGGACGGATGGAGGGGGTCCTCGAGGCCCAGGCCCCCTGCCGCACCTGAGCTCCCGCCCCGACCTGGCCGTTTTTTTTTTTTTGCCTCCTCTATCCTTAGTCCAAGTGAGTGATATTTCTTCAGTTTTTCTCTTAGATTTGACCCCCATTTTCAGTTTCGTTGTTTGGTTGACTTATTTTGCTTTCCCCCAACACCTTCCTTTTGTTTCCTCTAAACATGAAAATAGGAAAAACTTGGCTCTTACGGTGGTTCTCATGCATTTCTCTATCTACCCATTGGCTATAATTTTGGTAAGAAACAGAACAAACAGAGAAGGCATTAGAAGTTGAGGATATGAACTTGAAAAATCTTGAGCCTAATTTCTTTTCTAGGGAGGGTTGTGATTTGGGGTTGGTTATCCCCCCCACACCCCCATAAAGTTCTTTGTATGGTTTTCTTGACTTTCCTTAGAGCAGAAGGGCTCCCTCACATTTAAGCACCTGTAGCCAAGACCAGTGTGAGACTGCCAATACAAATTGCTGTGTTGGAATGGAGCCCCTGGGGGTTTAGGGTTTTCCAGTGTGGGAAAGTCAGCTGTACTATCAACTAGGAATAAACTAACAGGCATTTTCCTAGTCCTCAACCTAGAAGAGATGAGATCAAATGGCTCCTCCCTCTACAGGATCACATTCTTCCTGGTGTTGTCTACTTTGGCGCACACTGCTTTTTCAGGTGAGAAATCTTGGAGGTAAATCCGACTTAAAGCTGTAAGGAAAAAAGATTCATTCATTACTTTGAATAGAAATGTTTTTCTGAAAATTAAATGTTGAGCTTGATAGTCCAAATTGTATGTCATTAAAATGTATTTTCCTAAGTAGA